ATACTAACATTTTCAATATCACTAATACTAGAACAAAATAATTTTAGGCCACCTGAGAATTCAGTACACGGGGAAAGCAGGTGAGGTTCCATTTGCCCTACTGATGGCCTCCTTGGTGGCTGAGCACTTATGGAGCAATCAAAAGTAAATGAAGCACAACTACAACAGACTAAATATTTCATGTAGCTGGTACCAATGGTAAGTCAGGCACATGAATATACATAATCAAATATGTGTGAGTGAGTGGGTGGGATTTATAAGTAAGGTGCATTTATCTTAAAAATATCTATCCTCTTAAATATATATCTTACCAGTATTTATAACTAAGAAAAAAATGCACACTGGCTCTCTGCCTCATGCCATTAAATTCGCCTTAGACAAAATGTTCCCTCTAACAATCCATCATTTATATCATGAAAGGGTGAATTAAGACTATTGGCCCCACTTGCCACAATGGAATATTAAAGGTCGACATGCGGTTCCTGGCTTTAGACTCCTCCCGTCCTACCAATGCATGAAAAGGTATATCATGACTAAATTCAGAAATACAGTACGTCTACTGGATTTGCTGTAGAAATGTTGGTTTCTTGAAAGGGTTGTCAGACTGGATCCATATTTGGCATCTGAGATTATTATAGTTAAATGCAGGCCAGGTTAGATTTCAGTTTGAACTGACAGATTTTCTGAGGAATTTCTGTCAACCATCAGCTGAAATTTTGTGCCAAAGTCTGTCCTCACTGGTTGAAAATATATCTGTCCTTTCTTCTTTTTCTCTTTTCTCTTTCTAGACTTCATTTACACTCATTTTAATTAGACCCATTCTAATTTGGATATTTCTAATATGGATAAACTTTACTTCTTTTGACGGAGAGACAACTTCTACATGTTTTGTGTAATGTGCACACATACCTCAGAATAATAACTTACACCATCCTCTATGAGTATTAATGAATAGGATAAGTGTTTAAACTACCCAAATGGCTTATGAATATTTGAGAAGAGACTCAATAACCAATAAGCAATGACACATAAACATGAACAAGTGAGCTTGTGTAAGTCTTGAGGGTTAATATCTATCTACCCTGTACAAAATATCATTCAGTCCTTAACATACAACAGAATACAATCTTTTCATGAACTTAAAAATATAATAAACTTACTGCTAATATTCATATACCTGAACAGTCAAAGCTCTATCCTGCCAGAATACATATACACTCGAGTATTTGCATTTCCATCTCTGAGTGCCTAGGGCAAACAGTGGATTAAATTGAAAGACTAAACTTCTAGAAACTTTTTCTTATATATTAAAATTATTGCAAACAGAAGATATTTTTCCTTTTCTTTTATGTAACCAACATGCTTGTGGATACTCCAGGTAATTTCAAAGATGAGACAAATAGAAATCCCCATGAAAATGAAAATGCATTTCTGTGATTGATAATAAGCTATAAATAGCCAAGTATTTGTTACAGAGAGCGATGCACCCTCCCAGAGACTAAGTCAAAATAAATTGATGTTATTCTGCAGCAAATCTAATGATCTAATCAATTTTAGGCATTATTTCTTCTGCAAATGAATCGTTCAGGAGACCGAATACCATTTTTCCATCAATGATCTTGATCTGATAGTCCCAATAGCAGGAGAGTGCATGAAGTATATCAGGGAAATTATGGGGTAAAACAGGCTTAAATAAGAAGAATAAAGATCAAACATGCGTAAAACTAGCACAAAAAAATAAAAATCGGACAATGAAACTTTACGGATGTAACCGCTGTCTTTGAAATTTTACAGACTGACATACCAGAAATTAAAAAAAAAAAAAAAAAAACTCTAGGGGAACCCAACCTACCTTTCGGAAAAACTATGGGAATTCACACGTTCCAAACCCCCCAAAAAACTTATTGACCAACCTAATATATCGATATAAATTGCCGTCACAATGTGTGCCCTTCAGGCACTGCCCGAGGGGAGGGATGTTGGGGGCTCCACCTCCCTACACCCACCGGGACACATTCTTTCCATCTCGGCATGTACAGCAAGATAGAGCTGCATTCACACCATAAAATAATAAACCAAATACCTTTATATCCGGAAACGTCAAACTGTCGTTGCTTTGGACCGCCGGAATTACTTCGATTTTAATTGCCTTTTTCATCATTTGGAGCTCTTGATGGGCTCAGATATAAAATTGGGATAATTACTAGTCTATCTATTCTTCGATGCCTCTGTAAAAGTATTAAAAATAACCCAGAATCAACACAACATTGGAAATGCAACATTTCTCACCAGCATTTTACCTTGAAATGAGCACACCGTGGTGTGTGAGTCAGCAGCAGGAGCAAGAAAATGTGAAACACTTGATGTGCACGATTCTATATTAGGGTATAGATAAATATAAAAATATGCAAATGAAGTATAATAACTTTAATAAAAGACTTTAAAGGCATAAATGTGTAACAGCAGACACTGATAATTGGCCGAATATCGTTTTGATAAGCAACGTAGTAACACACGGACTAGTTTGGGCATCGCAATAATGCATTCATGGGTCAGTGTTTTGTAATTCCTGGCAAGGTAACAAATTGCTGGACTTGGAATTCTAGAGGCGCCCGCACATTATAGTTTTGTCATTTAGCAGTGACTATAAGGCTGCTGCTGCTTAAATTATGTTCTATCCCACTCTATTTCTTCCGCTCTATAAGATGGCAATATCCATTTATCTCTATCACATCAGTGTCTGTAACCTTAACTAAGAGGCATTACATGCAGGGTTATATCTTCAAATCTTCACCTGGATATTTGGATATTGCCTAAGGCCTGTACTTTTAAAACCTTTCGCCAGGGCTGGTGAAAGGTTTCGCTGGGCGATCCGGAATTTCGTACTATTAAAATCATGCCTGATGAACGTTCGCCAGGGCTGGCGAAAGATCATATTGGAACAGCCTGGCGAAGCAAAGGCGCGAGAGCTGTTTGAATACCATTTTCTTGCTTTCAAGTTATAAATTAGTAACATATTTGTGTATGATATGATGTAGGAATCACATTGAAATTATAAAATATCTTAAAATCATAATTGGTTATGAAATAACGTATATACGTATTTTTTTCAAGACCTTCGATGTTCCAGTCGAGAGCTCAAGACATCAGCTGTATTCCTACCCCCCTACCCCTACCCCCCCACCCCGAGATGACTTATTTAGATTTAGGTTGTTAATTTGGTTGTAAGGATAATGTTCTTTTCACAAATATTACCAGAAGTGTTTTTACGGCGGCATGCTTACTTTTGGCTATAGAAACATAGCTGTAGTGCTCCACCGCCCTATAATGAGGCGTCTCTAATGATACCCTTGTAGGCCTACAGTTCAATATCTTATATCAGTTAAGAATAGTAAAATAGTAATCTTTAAACTCTTTTGTTAAAGTATAAAGTTATTTTTTGTATAAAAGTATAAGGTTGATATAGTATAGTATAAAGTACTTTTAAACCTTTCGCCAATGCTGGCGTTCGCCTGGCGAAGCTTCGCCAGGCGAACATCTGAGTGAGGGAGGCCTTACTTTTAAACCCAAGGCAGGTGTTCACCAGGCTTGGTGAACGAAAGGGATAGGCGCTAGGATTCCTGCTAAATCTAGCGCTTCGGCGAATGAAACAAAACGCGAGAAAAAGCAAAAGGTTTTAAAAGTACAGGCCATAAAGTTAACCTTGTTATAGTATAAAGTGTAGTATAGCATAGAGTATAAAGTTAATATTGTTATAGTATAAAGATATTTTCAACTTCTCTTCTTTGTTATAGCATAAACTTAGATTTTATCTCCTTTGTTATAGTATAAAGTGAGACTATTGCGGAAACAACATTTTCGTTTTCTCTCGAGGTTAATAATTAAGTTTAGGTTATGTTATGTGCACTGCAGATGCAAACAATTTTGCACTAGATTTAGCAGGAATGCAAGATGTTAGCGCCTGGCGATCCCTTCGCCTGCCCTGGCGAACGTTGGGTTTAAAAGTAAGGCCTCCCTCACTCAGTGGTTCGCCTGGCGAAGCTTCGCCAGGCGAACGCCAGCACTGGCGAAGGTTTTAAAAGTACGGGCCTAAGTCTGGGTCCTTAATTCATAATAAATTACCAACAAGACCTACCAACCAGATACACGAAGGTCACAATCCTGGCAACATATCAAAGATCCTTCTAATGGTTTATTTCATTTATTCTACAAAGTAAATTCCTATTATACTTTCTACTTGCAACATCTCTGTCATGGATGAAAAAATTCCTAGAACTAGTAAGTACTCATCACTCTCCCGGCCACAGGTGATTCTTATATTCTATGCGTAAATCCGAACTTGAAAAATTATGCCAATAAAAAACACTAAAATATACTCTACGAAATACCAAGAAACAGGAAGATCCTTGACAACTTACCCAACTGCCTACAGGTTGGTTCCGCACAGTTAGTTCCTATATGTGGTAACTCCATTGTTCCTTTTATGAATTAGTTTACGAGTAACCAGAAACGAGAGACGCTGTCGTTAAAATCACGTATAAAGCTCGAAAACTAAATCAAATTTTGTTATTGAGGGAAAATGACAACGTCTCAGCATTGACGTCTTATGTGTGAATGAGTCAGCTGAGATCAGTGAGCTTATTTATGTTTCTCGATTCTGCCAGAAGAATAGACACGTAGCTTTAAGGACTATTTATGTATTAGTTTTCTCGGTGTAGTGTTTTAGATAGGCTTTTAGATTTTTATTATTGGCATATATGTTTTTAAAATTACGAAAAATGGAACTAAATTTTTGTGTGTACGACTTGTACATTGCTGATCAACGTAGAGTAACAAAGAAAAACGATGTGTGCATATCGTGCATAGATTGTCTTTAAATTGCTCTCACTTTAAGTCTTTTAACTATCATATCAGCATTGTTAAATAAATTTTAACGATATATATTTTTTTTTCTTTTTTCTTTTTTTTTTTGTAACCAAAACAAACACCGTGACTATTCTTCCCCGCAACACCAGTGATCTTCACTCATGTTTACGGATTTGTTGTTGCATCACTTTGATACGGAATTTAATTTTCTAAGGCTTTCCAGAAGGGCCAAGAAGCCTCATATATATTTAAAATGTCTGATACGGAGAAGAAAGGGTCTTCGGAAAGCCAAGTCACTGTGGTTAGAAATGCGACGGACCTTCAGCGACTAAAGTTGGAGAAACTGATGAAGAATTCGGTGTGTTATTATTAATAGGAAATTATTATTATTATTATCATTCATGTATGTGTTGCTCCTGCATCCATATTTATGAAGTTTTATCAGTAAGTCTTGCACAGTTAGTGCAAGGCTTACTGATACTTACTGAAACCAGGAGCACATCAGCTCCTGGCTTCCACACTAATCTCTGTTGTTACTGCCCCCATTGGCGTTTTGGCAAAGACCAAGAAACCACTGTCACATTCTCTTAACCTGTTGAATCCAGTTGCCTCTTGAAATCGTGGTGCCAAGAACAAGGGAGGGGGTTACATAAGTAGCAAACATCCTAGGTATGTGATGTATAGGCCAAGTGTGCATGAACGTCTGTGAGTGGTGACAGGACTCTGTGCCTCCCCTTTGCAAGGTTATTTTGTGTAAACTTTTTTAGCTTTATCGCCATTTTCCAATGCCCATATTTGTCTTTTGATTTGCTTTATGCAGATGATAATGGCTTATTTTCCTTGCTCAGACTCCATATTATCTCTCTATGTAGTAGATAACTCAGTGCAAGGAAATAAACATGGAACATTTGCTTATTTGTGTCATATATCTCATTCTTTCATAATTTTCGATTTACATAATACAACCTGTGTCAGTGATGAATTAAGTGCACAGCATGTAAATGGCATCCTCTCTGGAGTCAGTGCTCTTCCAGTCAGTGCTTACACACATTATACTCCACATTCGTTTATCGATGGGAATAATCCTAAAATCCCCTTCTAAGCGCCAAATGAGTCAAATCACACTCTAAGAGGTTTGCGGACTTGTGGCAAATATTTCATGAAAATTCATTAAAGTTTTGCAGTAAATGGGTAATATTCCCACCCCTTTCAAAGCTGACCATGTCTGTATGTCAGTATGATACATTGTTTGGTACACAAACCCATTAACACCAGTATATTTTGAAGCCGAAAATAAAAGATTCTGGCGGCTGGCGGAGCTACCCCGGACTCTGTCTGCCGATACAGCGTCACACTGGCGGGACGCCTGGCAATGTTTATTTTTTGGGGTGTCTAATATGTAGGACACTCGTTATTGGGTGAAGTCACAATATTTTTTTTTATTTAGTACTATGTAAATTTTTACCAAGGAGAACAACAACATGCCAAAAATACTGTGTTCACTTTCTCTACATTCCAATAGCTATTATTATAAATCATATGTTATGTGGCCTCTACTAAGCTTAGCCCAGCCTCATATCATTTTATTTAGTCTTCAGAAAATCTTCCTAGAATCTAATACACCCTAAACTTAACCCATTGGCGCTGGGTGTCACGTACATACATGCCATGGCTGTTGTGGACCAAACGCCGGGGGCATCATGCCATGCCCATTCCCGCGCTACTGGCTCGTCGGACGGAGGTTGTTTTTCTCCACTAGTAGCGGCTTCATTTATATGGTAAAGATTTTAGGCAATGGCACCTAAAGTGAAGGTAAACCTTCAAAATTTTAATATTTTTATAAATTTTAGAAAAATAAAAGCTTTTAGGTGCTATATGTCGCTCGCAAACTACCGATCGAGCCAGGCGCAAACAGGGGAAACTACCAGTGCAAGCCGGCGCATACGTAAACTTGACAAAAATTTTACCCATTGCTGATGGGTTAATCCTAATAATGGAAAGTAAGAATTTTTGTTTAAACATTCCCTTTCTGTTCTGCTACTGGACAGTTACGCCTTGTATTGCTTATAGTTATTAATTTATTTTTCATATGTTTACAGGAAAAGCTCGCGTTCATTCCTGATCGGCCTAAAGATAAGAAGTTCTCTGATCCAGCTGAGTTTGTGCGCAATGTTATGGGCTCAAGTGCAGGAGCTGGCAGTGGTGAATTCCACGTCTATCGGCACATCCGGCGCAGGGAGTATGCACGTCAAGAATTTCTCAACCAGATGAAGGACAAGGTGAGAGGCAATGAATTAAGCAGCATTATCTTTATACATTGGTTGATGATGAGGGTGAATCTATCTGCATAAAATGCAATTGGAATATGATTTTGGCTTAAGTAAATTTTTTCTTTCTTTCTTTCCTTTTTTTTTTCGTGTGTGTGTGTGTGTGTGTGTGTGTGTGTGTGTGTGTGTGTGTGTGTGTGTGTGTGTGTGTGTGTGTGTGTGTGTGTGTGTGTGTGTGTGTGTGTGTTGTGTGTGTGTGTGTGTGTGTGTGTGTGTGTGTGTGTGTGTGTGTGTGTGTGTGTGTGTGTGTGTGTGTCTGTGTGTCTTTGTGTCTATGTCTGTGTGCATTTATATATAAATATGAACA